GTAGTAGTAGTAGTAGTAGTAGTAGTAATTTTGTGTTTTGCGGTCACGCATATTTTACTAAACATAAACTGAATATGAAAGTAAGGTTTATGGACAAACAATCAGTAATACGAAGAAACGATTGACAAAACATGACAATAAAATGCTATGACTTATTACAGTTCTTTACAAGTGTTTTACATTGACTCCTCATGTGTATTGCTTTATGTATTGATATTTGTTTCGTTTTTCCAGGGAGAGTACATAAGCAAACCTATGAAAGTCAAGTACCAATTTTCTAAATTCCCAGAACTGCCTTATGGAGAAGCTCGAGGTATACTTAGTTTCATGGATGGTGATGAAAGAACAATTTGCCTAATTGTGGGTGGTGAGGTAGTCCCAGAGGGTAATGGCAATCCATTTGGCTAATGCTTACCACTTTTTACAAAAATATTTTAATATTTTTAAATGTTTAACTTACAAAAAATATTTTTTTGAAAATAAATTCTGTTTCATCATTGTACTAACTAATGACTAATAAAGTGATGATTCAATCATTATGTTGTAATCTGTTTTTAGTTATTTTGTTAAATTAACTTTAATTATATTAGATTCAGCCAAAGGAATTGATATTGACGACAGCAAATGGAATTGAGACTGACGGCGAAACATCAGCTAGGAGGGTCCTCTGCGAGTTGGTATTCCTCTGTACTGTGGACACCTACGTGGAATGACGACCAGGGGTACACATGCGAGTGATTTCAGATTAAACACTATACCAAGTTAAGACATCCTTAATATTCACTGTCAATCTGCTTCTGGGGTTCGTAATAATACTACCACGGCATTACAAGCATCCACAAGGGTGATTTTATATGCAGTGACTGTCCTGGCAAACTTCTCAGGTTCATTTTGGCCCAATGTGTATGGTACAACAGTGTTACTTTTATGAAATCCATCTCGCCAAAATAACAAGCTGCCACTTGGACATTTTAGTCATTGGTATTTCCTTTCAGCGTTAACATTAACTTTCGAATATAGCGTATTTTAAAAACAATTCTGTGCACCAATCCTTTCTCGGGTGTGTGTTGACGGTTCTATGCATTAAGTTTTCTTCCTCTGTTTCTTTAGTTCCAGAATAAACATTTGTCAGTGAAAACCATTCTGGTTAGTTACAAATGAATATTACTATCTCAAATTTAAAAAAAAGAGCATCACAATTTACAAACGAGCTACATGTTCAAACTATTATCTACAGACACATTTTTGCTTCATATAAAGCGCAAAGAATAGCGCTTTTTTCATTTCAATTACCTATTCAATATTTAATTTTCCAATATCTCTCGAATAATAAATTCTCTATCAGATGAACAGCGTCAAGTAGTCTTCATATCTAGTTAGTTCTGTTCTCTAAGAATTCAACTATTTGCAACCGATCGTTGTGAAGACGGCACTATAAACAGAGACATTATTATGATTATCTGTAAATTAAGCTAGGAAAAATTGTATGCCCATAAATAGTCTCAAACATATACAAAGAACTTTTAAATCGGAAAATATTTCAACTATATTATATTTCATTTAGAAACAAAAAAAATAATAATAATCATGTTTGTAATTTAATGAAAAACTTTTAACTTCAATTAAAATGTTGGTTTTGAATCCTTAAAGAGACGTATTACACGTTGATAACGAAAGAATCACGAATCATACAGAAATTGAACAATTTAAAAATCCAAAACTTAATATTGATTTGCGAAGACTACTATAGTCAGACTCTGACGACCGTGGTGTTCAAGCGTTCCGTCCACTTCAGTATGTGAAACGTTTGCAACGCGGTATGCGTTGTGGGTCTTTCGTAATTTAATGTGGGTAATAAGGAAGAGTTATTAAGTACCCTGTGTTCAACTCCTTCCGAAAGTTTAAATTCCTTCCGACCTCGGCAATTTGATCTCAACCCTCAACATGAAGTCTATGAAGAAAGTCCATGAAACCCATATTTCAAGAAATCTCTAGAAGTATGAACAGTAGGAACATTTATCATGTTAACATTGCTAAAGAATCTCTTTGCTTCAAGAAAGAAAATGCTATTGTTAATGACTCGGCAATTACTGCGCCAATAGTAGAGTTCATTGAATAAATAACTAATAAAGTTTATTCCTCTCATCTCAAATTTTCTTCAAAAATATAGAACAATAGACTGCGTATATCTCTCCAGGAAGAAAATCGCATGTAATCTAGTCTGCATTTCTGAGAATATTATAATTTTTAATTACGTTTTCCCAACCAGGTCATTAATTTTCAAGATCAAAAAACTACCCGATCAAATGATTGCCCGAGTATTATGCATAAAGTGATTGAAGAATTAGTGCTGCTATAGAATGGCACCGACTTACTCGTATTAGTTTTCTATTTATTTTTTATCGACTAGCTATACGAACTTGCCATATATTCTTGCTAACTGCCATCTATCACCGCCCAAGTACATTTTTTTAAAACTTTTTTTTTCGGTTTCCTGACATTACAACGGAAATATTATTTTAAGAGTATAAAGAAGCGCTTACATATCAATTTAGGAGGAGGTTTTACTATTATTTAATATTCTCAAAACAATACTTCCGCATTGTTTACTATTTGGAAAGAAAGAATATAATTTTTTTTTAAATTTACTTTGTGAGGTGAAAGAGGGCAGCTGGCAAGAGTCCGTGGCAAGTCCGGAAATAGAAAACAAATATGAGCATATCTGTGCCATTCCCTAGCACCACTATTTTTTTTACTTTCTCGCCTTACGATGTATTATGCACGAAACAAGGGCGTCATATGGCTTACTACTTTAAATTCTAGTAATTCTCATTTAACTGATGACTTACTCATCTAAAGAAGATAGAAACCACACCGTTAACTAAATATATTATTATTAATTCGAAGAACGATTCAGCATGTAATAATTCGACCTCCAACTTGTGAAAATGACAGGAATATAAATTTCACGTCTTAAGACATTAAAGAGCGAAGTTTCTTTTTTTTTGAGATATTATTTTCAAATTGAAAAATTTCATTATTTCAAAACACTCCCAAATGAAATTCTAACTACGAGAAAAATATTTAATGGACACAAAGTAATTGCTAGTTGCTAATGGGCACAAAGTAATTGCTAGGTGAGGTGGTGAGGTAGTACGTATGATACATCATACGGTTGGCAAATCCATGTACTCAGTACATTGTTTTATTCCGATCTGAAAACACAGAAAACTGAACATATTTGGAGCTTTTTATGATATTTTGTGTTATTTACAATTCTGAAAACATTTTTCCTTGAAAAGAAAAGTCTTTTTATTTAATTTGATGTATAATTTTTTTCAATGTAAACAAAAACAATACAATGAAATTTATTGAAAGAAGAGACCAATATAAATAAAAAATGATAAACATATTTCCAAACAAAAATTGCTTTGTCGTAGCGAAAGTGGTATCTAATAAAATAATTTTTGGCGGCAACACTCGTTATATTTTGTGCACTTTCCGCAGAAGCACGTGTACTCATAATTACAATAATGTGAACAAATTGCCGTTAATATAAATATTAACTAAATGAGAGATGAGACAAAAAATTACATTTTTGAAAAAGCAAATATGTAGAACAACATACCGTTTATGACATGTTAAAGAGTGCATTCAGAACTATGCCAAACAAAACGTAAAAGATAAAATTTTGGAGTTTTTGAGAAAATTTTGTTTTGTAATTTTTTAAAAATGCACTTACACGCAATATTTCCCGAAAACCTACAAAAATTGTAAAAAATTATACAAGTCCTTAATAAAATAACTTTTTATAGGGACCAAATTTTATTTGAAGGGAAAATGTCTTTAATTTTGTAGTTGTAAGAAGTCGTCGGAAATAATTTAAACTTTTGACATTTTCGAACCTAGACAACCTTCATACGTGTATTTTCCTCTTTTCGTAGAAGAAATTTAAAGAAAAAATTGGGAGCCGTTTTTGAGAAAATTTTGAAAATGTCAGGAGGCTTCATGTAAAGTACCTCCAAATTTTAAAGAAAGTTTTTCAAAACCTCAAAATTTCATCTCCAGACAGACGGACAGGATTTTTCTGAATTTGGAAAAAATCCTATTCATGGTTTTGGCAATATTAGTGTTCACAGACGGACGGACGCAATAATTATATTATAATAAATATTAAATATTCTGTATTAGGACAATGTGAAATCAGAAAAAAACGAAGGAGTTATCTTTGAAAAAAGAAATGGATACTTCTTCAATTATTCGTATAAACCATACAAGATGACAGAAAGATGTAGGGTTCTCTTATAAAGGAATATCTGAAATATAAGGTAGGCTTGTCTGAGAATACTTGTATTAAAATTTTCTTTTAAAGAAGTTTTTACCATAATCCACATAAACGCTCCAACAGAGAAATTTACGAAGTCGAAATTGATATCTCCTATGCTGATATCGGCGTAACAGTTGAAACCATCTATCCAGAAATGCATTTTTGATTGTAGATTTTAATAATAACGTTGGCAACTAGGGCCATGGAAAATGGTTTAGGCACATATGTATGTAGACAAAGAAACTAAAGAGGAACATGATTTATTAAATTTATGGGTTGGCAAAAATTGAAGGCAATGAAAACATTTTTTTGGGAAAAGAAGCGAGAAAGAAATAGGACAGACGGTAAAATAAGAAACGAAATTGGCTTTTGTTAACGCATTGAATTAATATAATGATTAAAATTATGTAGAAAATAAAATCCAATTCAGATCCCAGAATGGCGAGAGGAAAACGAAAACTTGAGGCGAGAGAAAAACGAGGTTTATTTATCAACAGCATGCATTATAGTGCCAAAAACGTTGCTTTCACCCCTTCTTCTTTTCTGTTAAAGTTGTTTGGATTTTTAAAAATCTCAATAGTTTCCCCTTGTGTGTAACCTGGTGCGGTAGTGGTTCGTAGTAGATAATATTTCCGTTTTTTCGAGCAGGATGTCGTGTTCCGATCCCGAGAGAGCATTTTCAGCCACCGCAGATGTTTCCGTGTAACCTAAAGGGAGTTTCTGTTGTGCGCGGAGAGACAGATCGTTGTGTGATGTCGATGCTCATGGAGCCAGAGGAACAGTTTATTCTGTAGTCACATCTGACATAAGTTGGTCTCTGCAATGTGCAGGTCGATCGAGATGGCGGATTTGAGTGGTCGGTATGAAAATGGTTATGATTTTGTGTTGTTTCAGAAGCATTGCCTAAATAACCACGGCTGAACGGAGGAGTGCTTGATATTAAAAACCGGTTGACCATATTTTCAATTACAAACGTAGATGTCAAGATGTAAGTTTGATTTAAAATAAAGTAATATTCAAAGTTATATATGAGGCAAATTTTACGTTCATTAATAATTAGTTATAATTAATTATTTTAAATTAAAATATATTTTAGTTTAAAATAGCTTCAAAATAATATTAATACTACTTGTCGGAACGTATCATCGGTGTGAAAAGGAAGCCTTTTTTGCTAAAGTTTACAATTTTGTAAGAAAGACAGAGTTATATCTAAAAGTTAAAACTTTTACTTAAGGTTGGTATTGTAGAGATCTAGTATGTGTGCAATTTTAAGACTTTTATCTGGTCCTCCAACAGAGATATTACAG